GATGGTCAAGGCCAGTTCCTGTAGCCCCGGGGCTCAGGGGTGGATAAAGCCAGCTCCTGTCCTGTGATCATCTCCCTGGGTGGGGGTGGGGAGAATAATCCACCTTGTAATGGGGAGGCCTTCCCAGCTGCTGACTGCCAGGAAGTGGCAGATCAGCAGGGGACAGGCCCTACCCTGGGGTACACAGAGAGACATGTATCCCAGAGATGGAAGTTGGGGTCCTGACAACCGCTGTGGCGGGAACAGACCCCAAGAGTCTGTAGCTGGAAGCAAACCCCATCCCTTTCACTGAGGTTGGATTTTGTTGACCAGTAAAGGGTCGGTCAGGGCTGTTAGCTGAGAGCCCACAGATGGATCAGGAACAGTTTTCCTCTTCGGGGACACGGGTATGTGCCTCATGGGGAACCTAGAGAGGAAAGTCCAGATGGAAGGTGAGGGGGGACAGGAGGCTCTGCCCGCCTTTTCTCGGAAGGCTTTTCCCCAGCAGGAGGGTGAAGGATCTGCATCTGAAATGCCAGACCCCTCACCTGTGGATCAGGTTTTAAGGGAAGACTGGGGGTCAGATCTCCTGGAGGGGAGAGTCCACCCAGTTGACCTTTAGGTTTGAGGTAGGGGATGCTATTAGATAGTTAACAGCTCTCAGGCACTCTTGGACTGTAAATGGCCTTTCCTACAATGCTTCCATCTTATGGGCCTGGAGCACCTTCAAGACCATTACCTGGTCCCCTACTTTGAAGGAACACTCTCTGGCATGTTTATCATACCAGGCCTTTTGCTCTTCCTGAGCATCTTTTAAGTTTTCTCTAGCAAGGGCTAAAGAGTTTCGGAGCATTTTGTAGGGAACAAACACCCCCCAACCCCCCATTAGAAAGTATCTTCTTTCCTTATTGGTCCTTTTGGTCAGGTGCAACCAGATTATTCGAGCTTCTTAACCCCTTACAGATAAAGCAATTCAGTACAGCTTCAAGGAGGGATTTTATGCTACCCTTATCTTTGTTTATGACACAAGCTAAACTGTGTAAACACAGCCTGTCTGCCATCGCTTTGCTGGTTATCTTGTGTCTTTGGCTACTCCACTGATGGGTCAAGACAAAGGAGTTAATACTAATGGTAAACCCTTTCAAGACGTGTGACATACCTAATTTTTGGAAAAAAAACTTTTGTACATGCTAGGGATGGTGACAAGACAGTCCCACCAGCATGTTGCTTTTCAGCTTACACCTGTAAACAAGCTGGAAGCTTGGCATAGCAGCAAAAGCATAACAGGCCTACACTGCTGTGTGGAAGGGGAAACTGAGGCATACCATCTCATGGCATTGGTGGCTAAATGTCAAGACACCTACATTTTAACAGATATTGCTATCTGCACTCCATTGGTTAGACACTGTGGGCTGTGGGGGGGGGGGTAGAAGAGGAGAGGCAGAAAACTGTAACACATTAAGTTTCTGTAATGCAGGCAAAGCTAACAAACAGTGGAGTAGTAATATATAGAAGCCAGGTTCTCCAGCTTTTACTTCTTCCCTTTGTTAATCTTCTGATCACTGTTGTTTCCCTTACATAGCCTTGCGGATCTCTAGGGAACATGTTTCAGCCCAGCTTCTGGGAGTTGGGGAATAGTGCACAAGTGAAATGTAGCATAAAATCCACTCATCCACTGCAGCTGTGTGAAGATAACTGAACCAGAACATTTTTGTCAGCCACGAGAGAGATGAAGGGGGAATGATCAAAGTCCATTGCTGTGTGTGTTGGTCTGGATCCGACCCGTGATCAATGTGCTCCCTTAAAGGGCAGCAAGGCTAAGGGGAGAAATCAGGCAAGATGGGGGCAGGGGTGGAGAAGGAGTAAGGAGGAAAAAAAATCAATTACTTGTTAAGTTGCTCAAAATGAGGCAAAAAACAGCCCTGGTCTTTTCAAACGTATACCCTAACCTTTACCCCAGAGAGAAGCAAGGTGAGGGTTGCCTTGTCTGTAATGCACAAATATTTCACACAAATTAGATTGTTGTTGAGGAGGCATTTTTTTCTGTGAAATGTACAGAGCGGAAATCATAAAGCATCTATTTTTTTCTGGGATAGTGATCATTTTTAAAAATTATGAATGTTAATGGATTAAATGAGTCCTGTCATGCAGTCTAAGGCTACAATGGGACCCTTTTAAAAACTGCTTCACTCTTGGCAGAAGGAGAAGTCATTCTGGCATCTGTATAGTCTAAAATCCCCACCCTGTAATCACAAGTTTAAAGCACTACAGTACTAAGTTCATAATTGACTTAACATTAACACTGCTGCTGTGCAGTCTGCCAGCAGAGGGAACCCAAACTAACAAACAGTTCCAGGCTGTGCTGACTTCCAGGAAGATCCAGATTTTGCGATAGGGAGATAACCGAATTCCCTTGTCGGGTGTGGGGGGGACCGTGCTGTTTCCTAGCTGGAAAAGGGGAAGGACCAGAAGTGTCACTTTAAAAACAACTACAACAACAAGGAGTCCTTGTGGCACCTTAGAGACTAACACATTTATTTGGTCATAAGCTTTCGTGAGCTAAGATCACTTCATCAGATGCATGGAGTGAAAAATACAGGAAGCAGTATATATATTACAGCACATGAAAAGATGGGAGTTGCCTTATCAAGTGGGGGGGACGGACGGTCAGTGCTAATGAGGCCAATTCAATCAAGGTGGAAGTGGCCTATTCTCAACAGTTGACAAGAAGGTGTGAGTATCAACAGAGGGAAAATTTCTTTTTGTAGTGACCTAGCCACTCCCAGTCTTTATTCTGGCCTAATTTGATGGTGTCCAGTTTGTAAATTAATTCCAGTTCAGCTGTTTCTCACTGAATTTTTTTAAAATTTTTTTTGGTTGAAGAATTGCCACTTTTAACTCTGTTATTGAGTGACAAGGGAGATTGAAATGCTCTACTGGTTTTTGAATGTTACAATTCTTGATGTCTGATTTGTATCCATTTATTCTTTGGTGTAGAGACTGTCCAGTTTGGCCATTGTACATGAGAGAGGCGCATTGCCTCACCCCTCGTCTAAAAGGGCCGCAATCATCAGATCCTGTCAAGGTTCCTCCCCCACTCTGAACTCTAGGGTACAGATGTGGGGACCTGCATGAAAAACCTCCTAAGCTTATCTTTACCAGCTTAGGTCAAAACTTCCCCAAGGTACAAAATATTCCACCCTTTGTCCTTGGATTGGCCGCTACCACCACCAAACTAATACTGGTTACTGGGGAAGAGCTGTTTGGACGCGTCTTTCCCCCCAAAATACTTCCCAAAACCTTGCACCCCCCTTCCTGGACAAGGTTTGGTAAAAAGCCTCACCAATTTGCCTAGGTGACTACAGATCCAGACCCTTGGATCTTAAGAACAATGAACAATCCTCCTAACACTTGCACCCCCCCTCCCCTTTCCTGGGAAATGTTGGATAAAAAGCCTCACCAATTTGCATAGGTGACCACAGACCCAAACCCTTGGATCTGAGAACAATGAAAAAGCATTCAGTTTTCTTAAAAGAAGACTTTTAATAAAAATAGAAGTAAATAGAAATGAAGAAATCCCCCCTGTAAAATCAGGATGGTAGATACCTGACAGGGTAATTAGATTCAAAACATAGAGAACCCCTCTAGGCAAAACCTTAAGTTACAAAAAAGATACATAGACAGAAATAGTTATTCTATTCAGCACAGTTCTTTTCTCAGCCATTTAAAGAAATCATAATCTAACACATACCTAGCTAGATTACTTACTAAAAGTTCTAAGACTCCATTCCTGGTCTATCCCCTGCAGAAACCAGCATACAGACAGACACAGACCCTTTGTTTCTCTCCCTCCTCCCAGCTTTTGAAAGTATCTTGTCTCCTCATTGGTCATTTTGGTCAGGTGCCAGCGAGGTTACCTTTAGCTTCTTAACCCTTTACAGGTGAGAGGAGCTTTTCCCTGGCCAGGAGGGATTTTAAAGGGGTTTACCCTTCCCTTTATATTTATGACAGATCCCTACAGAAATGACTCCGGGCCCTTTTGGAGTTCAAAGAATGCAATTTCCACTTCTTTTAACTGGGCTCTAGAGCTCTTGCAAGAGGCGGCTGCCCATGTTTGCCTGCCCCACCCCACACCCATTAACCCTTTCCCAGCAGAATCAAGTGGGTTGTGCCGAGTTACTGAGCCTACTGCCTCAGGGCCTCCCCTGGGGATAAAGGGAGGTGGTCAACGCTTCTAGTTTAATTACAGTGAGAACCAGCCCACGCAGTTTTGTTTCCATGGGGGGGGGGAGTGTGCACGCATCACTCTCTTGCATAATGACAGGTTTCAGAGTAGCAGCCCTCTTAGTCTGTATCCGCAAAAAGAAAAGGAGTACTTGTGGCACCTTAGAGACTAACCAATTTATTTGAGCATGAGCTTTCGTGAGCTACAGCCCATTGTTTCATGTTCTCCGTGTACATAAAATCTCTCCACAGTGTGCATCCGATGAAGCGAGCGGTACCTCACGAAAGCTTCTGCTGAAATAAAGTGCCACAAGTCCTCCTGTTCTTTTCACGTCAGGAAAGCGTCTCTCGGCAGCAGCCTGGGCCGTGGAGAGGTCCCAGCCTAAACCAGAACACAGCCAGCCCTCAGGGCTGGAGAAGCCCTTCCCGCGCCTGGCGGGTGGCTGGGGCACCCTCGCCACCCGGGCGCAGCGCTAGCCCCAGAGCGGGAGGGGCGGGGTCTGCTCCGCTCGGTCCCGGGCTAGGGCACGAGGCTGGAGGCCCCCTCCCCCCACAGAGCGCGGCGGGGCAGGGGCGATCTGCCGCCGCCGCCCCCCATTTCCCGGGGGGCGGGGCGTTGCGATTGCCCCGCCCCCTTACGCCTTCGTGTTTTCCAGTCGCCCTCCAATGGGGAGAGGGCGAGGCGGAGCCCGGGGCGCGCTCCGCGTCACGAGAGGAGGCGTGAGCGCCGGGGGGCCTAGCCCTTTGCTCGCCGCTGGCCTGAGGCCCTTCCTGGGGGTAAGCGGGTGGCAGGGGGGCGAGTCCGGAGACGTGCCGGGGATGTGTTGTGTCAGTTCCTGCAGGGAGCCGCTTGTCTCCCAGCACCAGAGCTGTGGGGGCAAAAGGGACGGGGCAAGGCAGCCTGTCTGGTGATGCCCATTTGCCAGCCCCCCGAGTCTCTCTCTCTCTGATGCTGGTGGGTTTTGCTGGGTGTTTTCCGCAGTGAGACGTTTCCGGGCGCAGTCCGCTCCTCGCAGCTCTTCGTCCGGGCCGCGTTACGGAAAGGTCGCTCCTTACCTGGCTCCGCGAGGCTAGAGCTGAGCTCGGGCCGGTCTGGGTGAGAGCCGCGCTTTAACGAGGGGGGAGTGGTGTCCGTTTCCCTAGCCCAGGCGAGGCTTCGAGCAAAAGCTGTTACCCAGATTCCAGCTTTTTATGCACCTTGCCCGTATCCCTGCTGCCGTTTGAGGCCCCGGAGGCCGCCAGCGTGAAGAGCTCATTGGGGGCCGGGCGGTAGCACCCACTGCTGAGGCGGTAGCAGCAGAGTCCAAGCAGAACATCTCCTTGAGCCCGCTGCTCCTCTGTCCAGCATCCCCAGGCCTGACAACCACAGGGCAAGGAACCCCAGGGGCCTGCTTGCAGAACCAGGGGCCCAGTGAAGAGACAGAAACGAGGCACAAAAGCAGGGAGCAGGAGCCAGCTCCGTGCTCTGTTGAATTCCAGACTTTTTAAAACAGGCTTTGGTGGAGGTTTTGCCAAGAGGGTGGGGCACAGCCTGCTGCGGGAGGGTTTGTACTCCAGGCACAGGTGCATCCTCTGTTGGGTGTATAAGGAACACATGCTGAACGCTGGTGTAGGTGAATCCAAAGCCTTGTTCTCATAAGGTTCTTAACCCCCCCCCCCCCCCCCAGTGTAGGCCATGTTTCGGTTAGTTTATTCCTCCCTGTAGTAATGTGTACACCTGTAAAGCAATCCATCTTTAACAAGCCCTTATGTGAACAAAAGTATTTCATGAAATTATTTTGAATGAAAACATTTTTGCGGGGGAGAGGATATAAATCTTCTCCTGGAAGAGTTGTGAGCCTAATCACAGCCACAATTGATTAGTGCCCAGGGACCAGAAAAATCTGATGAGGGGAGGCAATGTGGTCTGAGTGCAAAAATCGCATTTAGGAGCTTCTGATCCTGATTAGGTTCATGGCCTGGGGCTCATCACTTCACCTGTCTGGTTAAGTGACGGGGTGAGGAGCAATTAGTAGGGCCCTACCAAATTCACGCATCACAGACCGTGAAATCGGATCTCACCCATGAAATTTAGCTAGTTTATGAGGGAGGGGCAGGGCTGGGGGCACTTACTGTACACTGGTCTCCAGATGCTAGACCTGGACAGCTGGGAGGGACAGGACTTCCTCTTCCCCTGCAGGGGCCGCTTCCAGGGACCGGTCAGACCCATGTCCGGAAATCTCCCCAAGCTGCAGGTACCTCCATGGCTGCTCATTGGGAGCCCAGCTCTGAAGGCAGTGTCACTGCTAGCAGCAGCACAGCAGTGAGGGTGGCAATACTGTGACCCCCCCACCCCCCACACACACCCAACAATAGCCTTGAGACCCCGCCACGACCTCCATTTGGGTTGGGACCCCCGTGATTCCTACACCATGAAGCTTCTGATTTAAATATCTGAAACCATGACATTTACGATTTTTAAAATCTTCTGACCATGAAATTGACCAAAATGGACCCTGAATTTGGTAGAGCCCTAGAAATTAGTTGCTCTTTTGCACAGTTAAACACCAATTCTTCTGGTCAAGATGAGGGAAACTGCAATAAGTAACTGGCAACGGCTAAACGTAAATCAGATCTTCTAAAAATGCTTTCAGTCCTAGGTGGTGAGGGAAGCCAAGTTTGTTTGAAATTAAAAAAATTAACCCACTGTTAATAATAGAATACCATTTATTTAAATATTTTAGATGTTTTCTACATTTTCAATATATTGATTTCAATTACAGTAACTCCTCACTTAAGGTTGTAGTTATGTTCCTGACAAATGCGACTTTTTATGCGAAACGATGTTAAGCGAATCCAATATCCCATGGGGAGGTTAGGTTCCAGGGAAATTTTTTTTCTCTGACAAAAGACATTATCTACATATACAATATACGTTTTAAACCATTTTAAACAGACGGTTTAATACTGTTCACAGCAATGAATGATTGTGAAGCGTGGTTGAGGTGGTGGAGTCAGAGGGTGGGCTATTTCCCAGGGAATGCCTTGCTGCTAAATGATGAACTAGCCCTCGGCTGAGCCCTCAAGGGTTAACGCACTGTTGCTCATGTAGCCTCACACTCTACAAGGCAGCATGGACTGAGGCAGGAGGGAGAAAAGAAAATAGATGCAGGGCAGTAGCTGCAAACACTTCCCTGCAAAAACTGAACATGAGGATGAGCCCACGCTATCCAGCTGGAGCGCACCACGCCCTCCTCCTGACAGCACATGCATGGCTGCACAGGTGCTTTATTTCCAAAGCGCTGGGGGGTGCGTGCATGAGAGAGAGAGACGTGCATTGCTCCTTTAAGAGTGCTAACGCCACTTCAAGTACGTTGCCTTTTTAAGCAGATCAGCCAGTTCAGACAGGAAGCAATAGCTTCCAGCAAGCTCCCTCCTTTCTGTCCCTGAGCCCTCCCCGTCCTCTGCTTGAGGGGGGGACAGGAACAGGAGCAGGGGGACACCCTGATATCAGCACCCCTCCCCCAGCAAGCAGGAAGGTCCAGAGAGCAGCTCCAAGGCAGAGGGTAGAGCAGGAGCAGCACGGCGGGGGTGGGGGACAGCTGAACTGCTGCTGGGCAGCTGCCGAGCCACATACCTTACAGGGAATTTAGGGGAGCTGAGGGGGGAAACTGCCGGCCTTCCCTCGTTTTAATCCCCACGAGGAGGGGCTGCTCTTCCAGAGAATCCTGCAAGCAGTGGACAAAGCAGGCAGCTGCCAAAGAACGTTATAAGGGAGCATTGCGCAACTTTAAACGAGCTAGTTCCCTCATAGATCAGCAACATAACAACGTTAACCGGGACAACGTTAAGTGAGGAGTTCCTGTACAACACTGAATACAAAGTGTACAGTGCTCACTTTATATTTATTTTTTTATTACAAATATTTGCACTGTAAAAAAAATTATATTTAATTCACTTAATACAAGTACTGTAGTGCAATCTCTTTATAATGAAAGTTGAACTTACAAATGTCGAATTATGTACAAAAAAACCTGCATTCAAAAATAAAACAATATAAAACTTTAGAGCCTACAAGTCCACTCAGTCCTATTGAGCCAATCGCTCAAACAAGTTTGGTTACTATTTGCAGGAGATAATGCTGCATATGTCTTGTTTACAATGTCACCTGAAAGTGAGAACATGGCACTGTTGTAGCCGGTATCGCAAGATATTTACGTGCTAGATGCACTAAAGATTTTTATGTCCCTTCATGCTTCAACCACCATTGCAGAGGACATGCATCCATGTTGATGATGGGTTCTGCTTGATAATGATCCAAAGCAGAGCGGACCGACGCATGTTCATTTTCATTATCTGAGTCTGATGCCACCGGCAGAAGTTGATTTTCTTTTTTGGTGGTTCGGGTTCTGTAGTTTCTGCATTGTAGTGTTGCTCTTTTAAGACATCTGAAAGCATGCTCACCTCATCCTTCTCAGATTTTGGAAGGCACTTCAGATTCTTAAACCTTGGGTCGAGTGCTGTAGCTATCCTTAGAAATCTCACATTGGTACCTTCTTTGTATTTTGTCAAATCTGCAGTGAAAGTGTTCTTAAAACGAACATGTGCTGGGTCATCATCTGAGACTGCTATAACATGAAATATATGACAGAATGCAGGTAAAACAGAACAAGAGAAATATAATTTTCCCCCAAGGAGTTCAGTCACAAATTTAATGCATTATTTTTTTAATGAGCATCATCAGCACAGAAGTATGTCCTCTGGAATGGTGGCTGAAGCATGAAGGGGCATATGAATGTTTAGCATATCCGGCACGTAAATATCTTGCAACATCAGCTACAAAAGTGCCATGCGAATGCCTGTTCTCACTTTCAGGTGACATTGTAAATAAGAAGCAGGCAGCAGTATCTCCCGTAAATGTAAACAAACTTGTTTGTCTTAGCAATTGGCTGAACAAAAAGTAGGACTGGGTGGACTTGTAGGCTCTAAAGTTTTACATTGTTTTGTTTTTGAGTGCAGTTATGAGACAAAAAATCTACATTTGTAAGTTAAACTCTCACGATAGATTGCACTACAGTACTTGTATGAGGTGAATTGAAAAATATATTATTTCTTTTGTTTATCATTTTTACGGTGCAAGTATTTGCAATAAAAATAATATAAAGTGAGCACGTACACTTTGTATTCTGTGTTGTAATAGAAATCAATATATTGGAAAATGTAGCAAAACATTCAAAAATATTTAATAAATTTCAATTAGTATTCTATTGTTTAACAGTACGATTGATCGCAATTAATTTTTTTAATTGCAGTTAATTTTTTTGAGTTAATCATGTGAGTTAACTGTGATTAATCGACAGCCCTATTTGAAATATATATTTATTCTGGCAGTGTCCCTTTAAGACATTAACTGGGACCTGTGCACATTCCTTGATGCATTAGCTGTGGATTAATAAATGCTTCTGTTTGCGGGGGGACTGTGCATAGGACAGTACCAGACAATCAGGCACATTGGTGAATGCTGAACTGTGTGAATGGCTGAGTCTTGACTGTGTGTCAGTTCCTTTTTTTAAATGCAAAGAGATGGAAAGTGCTGTGTGGAAGGCAAAGAAGAGGGTCCTCCCACCATGGATGGCCGTGCGGGAGGTGGAGCCAAGAAAGACTAGGTCAGCAGTGAGACTCAAGAGGGCGAAGAAGCCAGCTGTGGCAAGGTAAGCGCTTTGTGTAGCTGTGCCACCTGGGGCTGCAGTTGCATTGGCTCCCATGTGCAAAGCACCATTGGGCCTGGTCACCGGTTGCCTGGGAAACCTCCAAGGAGAAGCGAGGGTATCACACAAAAGTGGGGTTGGAGGCTCAGTCAGGGTGTTCTTCGCTGTGTCAGAGCTGCAGGGAGCGCTGTGCTGGCAGAGCTGCTGTCTCTCAGGAGAGATGGAAAACACAGAGCTGTTTGCGTAGATCTTATTACGCTCTTCACAAAAGCTGGAGCCATGGTTGAATCCCTTGTTGGGTATTTACCTTCTCTCTGAGCTATGTTATTCTTCACTTCCCTCCCTACACTCCCTCTTGTGCAGCATTCCTGGTACTCGATCCCTGCTGCTGGATTTGTACATGAGCCCTGTTCCCCCAGCCAGCACGGTGCTTTGCAATCCTGCAGGGATAACTGTTGTGTTTAGAAGTGTAAGGGATTATGATGGTTATTGAAATATACAGAAAGGAATGTTCCAAAAGGGTTCTGATTTCTGCTCTGAGCTGATGTACATCAGGAATAACTCCACCCAAATCATCAGATTTATACTGGTGTAAAAGTGGTGTGAGAGGACAATCAGGCTCCAGCTTCTGACTTCCTGCTATTGAAAAACAGGAATTTGCAGAAACAAAGGCAAACATTACAATGACTTCCTATGCAGGCATTCCTTAGTCCTGGGGGAATTCTATCCCAAAAAATTAAAAATTCTGCACACAATATTTTAAAATTCTGCATATTTTATTTGTCAAAATAACACTATGCAATCATGTCAGTTTCAATTATTTTGATAATTTATTTCAAAATACCTATCAGCAACTCTGTCTGTAACAATACAGACACAAAAAAATGTCTCCAGGAGTAGGGAGTTAAGGAAACCCCTACAACAACTCAGTTTCTGTTTGTCTGTCCCCTGTCTGGAGAGCCCAGCAGGGGGGCCAGACACCCACACTCCCTCCCCCCAGAGCCCAGCCCAGACACCCGCACCCCGTCCCCCACAGAGCCCAGGAATCGAGAAGGAAAAACAGCATGATGCTGGGTCCTGGGCTTGTATGGAGTTTCCTGCATGCTCTGTCCTATTCAGGACATGCGGGGAACTGCAGCTGCAAGGAACCCTCCAGCTCTCTCCCCCTCACCCCCTGCAGTGTCTTCTATTTGCGAGCCAAGCTCTGCCAGCTCCAGCACGCCCTTAGTGGCATCCAGCAGCTCTGCAGCCCATTTCTGTCAGGGGAAAAGGAAATTTTGTGCCCAAACCATTAATTTCTGTGCAAATTCTGCATTGTGCAGTGGTGCAGAATTCCTTCATGAGTACATTCCTCTGCTGTTTCCTATGCTGATTGTGTTTCCATGGGGGCAGCATTCACATTTCTGCCCATGACAGTGTTCCCCATCTGATTCCTGCTTTTGTTTTCTCTTCTGATCTTCTCTTGGCCTGCTCAGGACCGTGACTGTCTATTGTATGAACGAAGCGGAGCTGGTGGATGTAGCATTGGGGGTCCTGGCTGAGGTGAGCACTGAGGCCTGCTGGTCCATGTTCCTGCCAATGCAGCAGTTTCCTAACATGTCCCTGTCCTGATGCTTTTGCCCAGGCTAATTTAAAATGTCCTGCTTCCACCACTTCCCTTGGGGAAATGCCACTGTAGGGGGGCTAAATGGAAGCCTTCTCCTTTGTAACCAGCCACTTCCATTTCAATGATGCCATGATCCGGCATGTGTAACATTGTATCACGCCCCCCTGGAAGTGTTGTGATGTAAGCAACAACAGTGAATGGGTCAGTCAGGAGGAGGGAATGGGTGACCTGGGGGTTGATGCTTGGGACTTGGGAAGTCTGCATGATATTTCATGCTCCGTCACACACTCCTGCATGACCTGGGGCAAGCCACTTAATCTCTCTGTGCCTTGGTTTACCCCTCAGTAAGTGGGGATAATGGTACCCCCCACCCCCTCGCCAGGGCATTGTGAGGGTTACTATTTGAGATGCTCAGACGGTGGTGAGGAGGGCCGTAGGAATGCCTATAAATAAATGTGAGGAGAGAAGTCCTCTTTACACAGACACCCTTGTAATCAGCAGGAAGGCGGTGCAGAAAGAGGGCACCTGGTTAATGGGATTTACTAGCATGATTCCCAATAATTATTTATTTTGAGGGGAGGGGAGATTTCTCTGGAGTCCTGCAATTCCCCCCTCCCCCCTAAGCATGTCTGCCTCTTCCCCCTCCAACACCTGCATCACAGTGACCCTTGCTGTGGCTGAGGGAGCCTCCAGCCAATCAGTCCTGCTTCCTGTGGCGGGGGGGTGGTGGGGGTGGTGCTGTGTGTCTGGAGAGTAAGTGCTGTGCTTTCCTTCACGGCCTTGTGGGGGCTGGGAGATGCCACCTGGGTTTGGTGTGCCAGGGGGATGGATGCAGGAGTTTCTCAGACACTCACTTGGGTGAGTAAATGCTACAGTGCTGAATTCACACTCCCTTGCAGGAGACTATGTTAATGGCACCTCAGCAGCTTTCTCTCGTTAGGTTGGCAGCTCCCCGGGCTCTCTGCCTGGAGTCTCCCCCTTCCTGTGGCCCTGATCCTGCAGTTAGATCGCTGCAGGCAGACCCTGGCTTTCGCATCGGCTTCAGTGATGGGTCAGCCCACGTGGCTGTGATTGCAGGACTGGCCCTTAGTTGTTCCTGAATGGAGAATCCGTTATTCCTCAGGAGATTAACCCCCCTCCTCCCCATGAGCACTAAAGACCCCGTGACACTCTGTGAAGGTGCACACGTGTTAACTGCAACGTCCTCACCAAACTGTAGCTTGGGTAACTTTGTCCAAAATTCCCCTACAGCTTCAATGGCGAAGAGCAGTGTTCTTCGCTGCCCGGCCTAGGCCGGTGTTAAGTGGGGTGGGATGCAGCAGCTGTTGATCAGCCTTCTGCTGACTGGGGGCCTGGTGCCAGTGGGGATGGGTGTTTCTTCCTCTTGCTTCATGGTCGTGTTTCTGTGCCAGAACTGTAAATACAAGGAAATGGAGGGGAGCATTCCATCTGAAACCGAAGGGGAGCAGGAAGGCCAGCAAACGCCGACGGAGCCTCAGTGGAGTCCAGCAAGCAGTGGCGGGGCCAGCATGCCCAGGCCAGGCCCCGAGTCCCATGCACAGCCAGATGCTTTGGGATGTGCTAGCAGGACAGACATGGAGGACGACAAAGATGATGCTTTGAAATATGTCAGGGAGATATTTTTTAGCTAACATCTCACGGGGGTTTTTTAAGCAGAGCAAAAATAATGCCAAGGGAGCCATAGTCAGAGGGTGGGGCAGACCCAGGGGCAGGCTCCAGTGGGTGGGGATACGGCAGTGTGGGGCTGTACGGGTTCCCCCAATGCCCTCCCAATTCAAAGGGAGCCCGGAGCAGTGGTGTGGATGGGGCCCCAGGAGAAGGGAGCAGGAGAGAATGTCTGAGAGGAGCTCGCCCTCGGTCTGCCCTGAGCTGCATGGCCAGTGTCTGGTTCAAGTACAGCCCTTGCCCAGCGTGTCTGAGCCTTGGGACAGTCCCTCACCTTCCCCAACACTCCCCCCTTCATAGCCTCTTCCTTGTGAGCCACGGGTCCCCTCCTCCCTGGGCCAGCTCCCCAGCTGATCCTAAGTGGCCTCCTGATTGTCAGTCTCTGCCCAGAAGTCATGGAGATTGAACTCACCCTTCCAGCTCTGGGGTGGGGCTCTGCAGGACAGGGCAGGCACATGGAGGTGGGGGGGCCGGACCTGCTGTGCAGCATCCCTTGATCTGTGAATAAACAGTTTGTTCTGAAGGGCTGTCACTGGGGCACCTTTTATCAGTATTGTATTAAATTTGAAAGGTTATTAAAATATTAAATGTCTCTTTTAAAAACAAGCATCTGTGTGTTCTGCCTGCACCATGGGCCACCCTGTGCTGTCTCCTACCTCACCTGTGGGCATCATATTTACCTGATCTGTCAGTGGACTTGCATTGTCTCTGCTTGATGACAAGGCGAGCCAGAAAAGCAAACCGGTTCCATTGTCTAGGGCAGACCTGTTCACAAGCTCCCCCTGCCATGCCTGGTTTAAATGCACTTTAGTCATAATTTCTGCATCTACCCACAATTCTTAGTACCCACTGTGCACCTACCTCATGCAGGAATAGTAGTGAGCAGTGAGTTATTTGTCTGCATATTGTGTATAAAGATTATTGCAACGGTGCGAATAGAGAGTGCTTTGAGTCACACGCGTTACTCAACCAGAGAGCAGAGGTGGCACCCGCCGAACATGCTCTACATCATTCCACCACCGTGTTCCAGCTCTGCCCTGTTCACTCCTTGTCCTGAGTCTAGACAGTGGGGAGGGGCCCGCAGTGGCCGTTTCTTCCCTGTGGACAACTAGGACTTACAAACTGTGTGGTGATGCCACTATCTCATTTGCCATGAACAAGTAGCGGGTGGTGATACTCAGGTCCGCTCCACGTCTGTAGAGACTAAATCTGTGCTACTGGGAGAGCTCAGCACCTGTTTCCCAACTGTCTGAGCTGCATTTTCTGCCCTGTTAACATATAAAATATGAGCAACTCATCTGAAGTATTTTGCGGGCAGGTTTGAATGCACATGTGTGTGCTGGAAAAGGTTTTCCACTGTCAGTGTTTTGGCCTTCTCTTTTTCAGTCTCCTGGCATAGGGACCAGATTATGCATGCAGCAGATGAAATTACCCAATAGAGCTAGAAAAGACCTGCAAGCCTTTCCTGATCTCCCTTTGGGCCAGGTACTGATGCTGTAGGTGACATGCTCGTAATTAAATCATAGAATATCAGGATTGGAAGGGACCTCAGGAGGTCATCTAGTCCAACCCCCTATTCAAAGCAGGACAAATCCCCAATTTTTGCCCCACATCCCTAAATGGCCCCCTCAAGGATTGAACTCACAACCCTGGATTTAGCAGGCCAATGCTCAAACCACTGAGCTATCTCGTGCCTAAGCCCCCTTTATAGCACATAGGCATCCCCCTTTACAATGAACATAGATATGCCAGCATACCCACAAGGCTGCAGTAACCCTTCTCTGTTGAGTGGGTCTGGTAGGTAGCCCTGGTTTGTCTTACATCTCTTAGCCACTACTTAGAATTCTTTGCAACTTGCCTTTATTGTACCATGACTAACCACGGGCCCTCCTATATTTGCCTTATTCAGTTTCCTCAAGGGCACTGACCAGGCCGCAAGAGTCATCCTCTGTACACTAGCTCAGTTTAAAGCATTAATTCACTTTACTCTGCAGAAATTTACATTTCTGTACCACAAACTGTGCAACACATAAGCTGGCTGTAGTAGAACTAAAGGTCTCCTAGATGAACTGCCAGGGCTGTCCTTAGGCATACATGGTTGTGTAGGGCACCTGGAAATTTAGGGCACCCCCGGGTCTTCCTATCCCCGTTCTGACCCTTCCTGCAGGCTCCCACAGCTGGCTGCTGAGCCTGGTGAGTCTTCCTCTGGAGGGGGATCGAGTAACTTAAGAGTGAAAAAGCCTTCCAGTCTGCCAGACCTATTAACACAATACTGAAACTGTAGATTTAAACGCTTGGATCTTCAGACATATATTTTTTAAAATAAATCCTTCAAAGAACCACTCTGATCTAAAATACACATTTTAATTTTAATTACTATAGTACAAAAAACTTTCTTCCAAAGTCTTCCTGTCCTTTCTGTCCATCCCTTTCTCCCTTCACCCCCATGTTAAAGAGAGCCCTTAAAGGGACAACACCCCTTTCCTGCCAGATAGTGGGTCAAATGAGTTTCCCTTTCTTTCCTTCTGACTATTTGATGAACTAGTTTTAAGAGACCCCTCTAGCAAAATCAGTACCTTAGTAAGATATAAAATCCTTTGTTATGCCTAAAGTCTTTGGAAACATATTTTTTAAAGTTGGTGAAATTTCATAAACATGTCTATTGTTATGGAGATCACACAAAGTAAATTAGTGTTCGCTTTGTCTAAAAGCAATGAACATTGTTATGAACACACTAAACCTCTGCGATTGATTAATTTAAAATAATGTCTTTGTTTCAGTGAGTTAAATATGTAGTAATCTGGAATGATTACTTAATGATGGCTTAAGAGTACATTTAAAATGTAAAATCAGCTTAGAAATACTGATTAAGAAAATGTCATACAGAAGAGCTGCCTCACGTATTCCATAATATTTAAGGTTGTATTCAGCAGGACAGGTGACTTGCCTTTACTACAAAGTTTTTGCAGATAAAGCTCTGACAGACTTCAGGGTTTATAAAAAAAAACCTGTGACTGACATTTTTTTATTCCCAAGTTTAGTGCTTTTCATGAGGTACCTTCTGCATGTCCACTCTTCACCTCCTGGCATGCCGTGGAAAACATGCTCCATCTTCTTTAGAAAGAAATTGCAGAAGAGTGATTTTTTTCAAATGTCATTTGCTTTATTTGGGTTCAGGGATTTGGCTGGAAGGGGGGAGAGCAGGGAGGTGAAGGGGAGAGAGTGGGAATAGGGCGGGGCTTGGGCAGAGTGGGGGCGGGGCCTGGGGCAGAGCAGGAGTGGAGTCTTGGCAGGGCCACAGGCAGAAGAGGTGGGGTGGGGAGCTAGGCTCCCCAAACTGCAGCTTGACCCACCGCCCATGACAGCAGGTAAGAGTGGGTTGGCTCCCGCACACCCAGTGCACGCTACAGTCTCTTTAGGCAGGGGCTGTATTCACAGAGGCGTAGTCTGCGTGAGGAAGAGGGTACGGCGGTCTCTGTGGGGAACTGTGATTCTCTGCCGCCAGGAGGCAGGCAGGGCAGCTCAGTATCCTTTGCTGTCACGTCCCTCCTCCGCCTGGGCTGTGAGCCCGGGCTGCCATCGGGCATAGGGGCACCAGTTTAATAATACTGCGTAGGACCCCATAACTCCTAAGGACGGCCCTGTGAACTGCCTGACAAACTTAGACACAGAATAGTGTTTCAGCCTGTTCAGGTTTCTTCCCCACTCTGAACTTTAGGGTACAGATGTGGGGACCTGCATGGACCTGCTTATTCTTACCAGCTTTGGTTAAAAACTTTTCCAAGGTACAAACTTCGCCTTGTTCTTGAACCATATGCTGCCACCACCAAGCGTTTTAAACAAAGAACAGGGAAAGAGCCCACTTGGAGACGTCTTCCCCCAAAATATCCCCCCCAAGCCCTACACCCCCTTTCCTGGGGAAGGCTTGATAAGAATCCTCACCAATTTGTACAGGTGAACACAGACCCAAATCCTTGGATCTTAAGAACAATGAAAAATCAATTAGGTTCTTAAAAGAAGAATTTTAATTAAAGAAAAAGTAAAAGAATCACCTCTGTAAAATCAGGATGGTAAATACCTTACAGGGTAGTCAGATTCAAAACTTAGAGAATCCCTCTAGGCAAAACCTTAAATTACAAAAAGACACAAAAACAGGAATATACATTCCATCCAGTACAGCTTATTTTACCAGCCATTAAACAAATGGAAATCTAACGCATTTATAGCTAGATTACTTACTAACTTTACAGGAGTTGTAAGACTGCATTCCTGATCTGGTCCCAGCAACAGCATCACCCAGACGGACGGAACCCTTTGTTCCCCGCCCCCTCCAGCTTTGAAAGTGTCTTGTCCCCTCATTGGTCATTTTGATCAGGTGCCAGCGAGGTTATCTTAGCTTCTTAAGCCTTTACGGGTGAAAGGGTTTTGCCTCTGGCCAGGAGGGATTTTATAGCACTGTATACAGAAAGGTGGTTACCCTTCCCTTTATATTTATGACATGGCCCAAAGCTGGAGATCAGTACACAAGAGCAGGCTATATAGGTTGAATAGTAGATGATGATAAAAACTTGATTGGGGAGCTCCCACAAGCTAGCACTGCATCTTCCTCCCTCTCTGCCTTCAGACCTGCAAGGCTGGGGCCTGCTTCTCAGGGGAAGGGCTTCCCTTTTCAGGAACCTCCTTGAGCCACGTGACGTACACAGCAGCAGCAAAAAGCTGGAACAGCAGCAGGGCCTGAGCCCCAGCTAGCGCCATGAAACCCCCACTGAGTTCAGAGAGGTGAAGCCAAACCCAGGTCTGGAGCAGAAACAAGCTGAGGCCACCAGCCAGAAGTGCAGCCGAGAGGCCCAGCACCACAAGGGTCACTTCCCAGGCCTCTCTGGTGTTTGCACATTGGGCCTGTATGATTAAAAAGGGGGAGAAGCTACAGAGGACCTGGACAGTGTATACACAGAGCCTTGCCAGGACTAGCTCAACCTGGCCAACCCCCATGTCCATCAGGTCCTTGAATTCTAGGCACTGCAACTCTCCAGCCATCTGGTTCCACAGGCAGAAGTTGTAGAAGCCGATTCTTTTGTGGGGCAGGTTGATGATGTTTCCAGCATTCCACATCAGGGCATACAGCATCAAGAAAAAGGACCCTCCAGCCAGGAGGAGCATGGTCCAATAGAGCCGGCACGCCCCAGTTTTCTGCTGCAACAGACCCATTCTAGTTTCCACACTAGCTCCTCAGGACCACGGTCTCACTGTCCTCAAAGAGACCTGCTGTGAGACATGAATGGGGAGAGCCCTCAGTTTCAGTGTTCATGCCAGTAATCCCACTGCTTCCTCCATGCCCAGGTAACACACTGATTGAGGAAGTGGTGTAGCTCCTTCACATGGCTGGTCCACTAGAGGATAACAGCTTACTAATGCTCAGAGACTTTAAGGTCAGAAGGGACCATCGTGATCACTGAGTCTGACCTCCTGCACACTGCAGGCCACAGACCCCTCACCTCTGGCTGAGTTAGTGAAATCCTCAAATTTAAATGTAAAGACTTCAAGTTACTATGAATCCACCATTTACTCTAGTTTAAACCTGCAAGTGACCCCTGCCCCATGCTGCAGAGGAACGTGAAAAAGCCCCAGGGTCTCTGCTAATCTGACCCTGGAGAAAATTCCTCCCCGACCCCAGATCTGGTGATCAGTTAGACCCTGAGCATGTGGGCAACACCCACTCACTGGAAAGAATTCTCTGTAGTAACTCAGAGCCGTCCCCAGCTAGTGTCCCATATCCAGCCGTTGGAGATTTTTGCTCCTGGCAGTTGCCAGTGGGCCACATGCCATTGTAAGGCAGTCCCATCATATTATTGCTTCTTTTGCTAAAGGGGGCAGTTTGGTTGCTGAAGGGATGGGGTCTGTAGTGTGGGCTCAAGAGCCCAAATTCGAAGGCTGCTGACTGCTTATATGAGGGGCTGTTACACGCACTGTTAGTTTCCTGCATGTGGCAAATAGGGATTTTACTTCTTCTGGAAACAAGCAAGGGAAGAAATGAGCAAATTCTGTGAATTAACCAGGGGAACATTTAAACGTTAAACTAGAAGCAAACAAGAGTTCCTGACCCCAGCACTGGGCTGCAGGTACAAAGGTTAAAATTCCAGCTGCCTGTGAAGTGGGGCTCCCGTTCGAAATGTGACTAGAAAAACCCTCGCAGGGTTCTGTTCTCACCAGTCCCACAGCCAATTTGCTCCGGTGACGAGCCAGGAGACGGTTGTTCTACTGGCCAGCCCCACACATGCCACCTGGGATCTGCAGCTCAGCCTGTGCTCGGCCTTCCTCTCATCAGTACCAGTAACGACGAGTCTGGCTGCCAATGTGTGAGACAGACCAGAGGCTTTGGCCCCCTCCCGTAGCTCTGCTGGCTGGGCAGCGCTCACTGGAGGGCAAACAGGGCTGCAGCAGGAGGGGCTAACACACATCTTTGTGACATGAGGCAGAGTCACTTGTCTGGAGGGCTGCCATCCTAGAGACAGAGGCTGAGGGAACTGAGGGGGCAGCACAGTTAAGCTGCTTTAGGGCATTTTCAGTTTTTCCAGTGCCCACCCCCGCAGTGACGCTTGCAAGAACTGGAGGTCGTCACATGCATTTTGCCTCATTTGAAGGCCCAGCAATATGGGACCTTACGGGGATGGGGGAAGGGACCAGGAATACCAGAGCATAACCTCACATTGGAAACTGACACCCATTTCACTGTTCCACAACTCCTCCTTCTGTATTTCTGGGGGCGGGGACAACAGGAAATGAGCAGAGACACCCACCATCAGCAGGGGAACTCTAGAGATAATCAACACGCTTCCTCCAGCCACTTGTAAGAGCAGTAAAGGCAAATGGGCCAGGTTCTGACTTTTATACACGTGTACACGCCCCCTCCCCAGATTGACATCCTCCAGGGACGTACAGCCAAAGGAGGGGGGCGGAATTTGGCTCCATGGGAGAAAGGCTATGGATTGTCTCTACCTATTCAACTCATGGCTTATTGGCCAGGTACCCAGCCACCAAGAGTGAAAGTGAAAGTGCCTCACTGGACAAACATGCTCATATGATCCAGTTGATACAGTGCCAATAGTTATAACCATGACACGTTATTATGGACTTAATCTGAAAAAAACAAACAAACACTAAAAGAAGCAGCTCTTAAGCAAAATGGTCACTGTGAGGAGGAGAGGGGTGAGCGTTGCCTAGCTTCAACCTAAAGGTCTCTGTCAGGGACCTTCTAGATACAAACTTTTCTTGGCTGGACTAGGAGTCAGTTATTAGGCCAGTTAGTTGCCAAGTTTGATAGTGTGAAAGCCTTGATGTCATTTACTGTAAATGCCTATATTGGCAGCACTGTCTCCTCCCAGGGAAAGCATTTTTGATTTCAGTTCTGGTGAAAATAAGCATGAATCCTGGGAAAACCAACACAAGAGGTGGGATTCCTATTGCCTGAAGTGGCAATTAGGTGCCTATCTTTCTCTCCTGAATCTCAATGGAGGGAACTAAACAATCTGACTATGGCCCCAAGACCCCAAGGAGACAGGTGCTATGGGAATCAACCTGCAGTCTTCTCTTGTTCAGCCTGACTTGGCAGACTTCACTGGCGACTTCTCTCTTAGCTCCTTAGCTTCCTTTCAGCTGTGTTTTTGTGGCTTGTGGTTTAGGCTGAAAAACAAAAGCAGAGGTAAAAGGTGAGGTAAAAGCAGGCCTACGCAGGGAAAAGGATCAGCAAGATCCGCTGCCTCAGCCTCTCAAGGATAGGGTGACCAGATGTCCCGATTCCATAGGGAGTGTCCCGATATTTGGGGCTTTTTCTTATATAGACTCCTATTATTCCCCACCCAGTCCCAATTTTTCATACTTGCTGTCTGGTCATCCTGCTCAAGGTTGTCTTGCTGGTTGGGTCTGCATGTAGGTATCAACAAGGGACTGGGAGTGAGCGGGGGCCTGCCTACGCCGTGCTTAGCTTTGAACACTTCAGAGAGAGAGCATTTGCCTCTTCAAGCATAGTTAAGGATAAGATTACGTTACGGATTCTGTGACTTTCAGAGACCTCCGTGACATTTTCCAGCTCCGGGGTGGCAGGCTGGGTCTGTCGGCTGACGGGGGCTTTGGAGCTCTGAGCTGCCGTGGGCACAGGGGGCCAGGTGTCGGATCCCCTCCTTCTGCAGTGGGGCTTGGGCTCTCATCCCCCCCCCCCCACTTGGGCTCCAGTCCTCCCCCTGTCAATCCCATTTTGTCACAGTTCTTTTTAGTAAAAGTCAGGAACAGGTCAGGGCTTCTGGGAATGTTTGTTTACTGCCCGCAGCCTGTCCCTGACTTTTACTAAAAATAACCATGACAAAATTTGAACCTCAAGCATAGTCCCTGGAGTGTATTCCCTTGGCGGGGTATCCTCCCCTATGTATCCACCACTCAGTTTAACAGATCCACCCTCAGACATTTGGTTCTGGCAATGAGGACTTTGAATCATAGAGTATCAGGGTTGGAAGGGACTGCAGGAGGTCATCCAGTCCAACCCCCTGCTTAAAAAGCAGCACCAATCTCCAATTTTTGCCCTGATCCCTAAATGGTCCCCTCAAGGATTGAACTCACAATCCTGGGTTTAGGAGGCCAATGCTCAAACCACTGAGCTATCCCTCCCCCCTTCCCTGAACTCTCTTTGGATCCTGCCATCACCACTCCATTGGCTGTTACCACTGAGCAATGCGGGACAGGTGCTGCCTCGTGTCTCCCAGCGCCTGATGGTTATCGCGTGGGGAGGGGATACAGTTAAAGCCTCTAAACCACAAGCTCAAACCATGTTTTAAGTGTATCATGGTGGGATGGCTGGGCTGGGCTGGGCTGGGCTGTGCTGTGCTCAGGGCGTGGCTGCAGCACAGGTGGTTTCTGGGAATCCCCAGTGCTTCCAGCCCCTGTGCTGAGAGCTCAGGACAGGGAGCTGAACCAGACGGTGCTCAGAGCCTGTAAGCGGGTCTCTTTGCTAACCAACAGGCCACAAGCCATCTTTCTACCATTGACAAAGGCTTAGCACCTACAGTGTAGGCACCCCCTTCCCTCCCCCCAGCCCGGCTCACCCACTCTTCGGGGGTGAGGGGCCCCAGTTCTCTCAGCATTACCCCTAGATCATCAATACCTCACTTCTGCTTCCGCATGCTTCGCTTAGAGATCTTCTGGCGAAGCCTGAATGTGCTCCTGCGCTTGTCAGTGGGGTCCAGTGCACTGTAACAAACACAACCACGCAAGCAGCTCAGAAGTGGGTGAAAGCCAGAGCCGGGGGCGGGGAGACTACAGGGCAGGTACTTGGTTGACTAGATTAATAGTTCCCAATTGATTTCCACCTGGGATGCACTGTCACCCTCCCCAAAAGACCCTGGTTTCTTGCTGCAGCCTGCCCCATCCAAAGGGGGATGAGACTTGGGGTTCTGGGCCTGTCATGGGGTGGGGCAGGAGCTGGGCCAGGGAGCGGGGGCCAGGCTGGCAGCCTAGGTTGGGCTGGTGTGGGAGCAGATACCAGCCTGGTGGCCAGAGAAGGGCTGGTGTGGGAGTGGGTGCCGGGCTGGAGGCCTGGGACTGGCTGGCATGGGAGCGGGCATGGGGTTGCCAGCCTGAGGAAGGCTGGTGTGGGAGCGGGCACTGGGCTGGCAGCCTGGGGAGGGCTGGCGTGGGAGTGTGCATGGGGCTGGTGGCCTGGGGAGGGCTGGTGTGGCAGCCGGCGCTGACAGAGGGTGTATTTAGTTATGAGATCATAATTTGGCTTGGCTGGATTTGATTTAAAGGCTAGAGGTTGGTAACGTCGATTTCAGCTGACGTACTGACATCAATACACAGGAATTGGATGGGTAACATCTGGCAGGAGCGCAGCCTTCCCCCCTTTCTGCCTGCAGTGATCGGGTGACACCAGCCCCACTCTCTCCCTCCTACCGCGAAAGGTAGAGTGACCAGACGTCCCGTTTTTAAAGAGACAGTCCCGTATTTAAGCCCTCCAACAGGTGTTCCGACTTTTTCTTAAAAATGGGCAAATTGTCCTGTATTTTCTGCCTTCCCTCAATCAGTACTGGCAAGTCCTGCTGCTGGCCGGATCCTTGCTCACCAGCCGTCCGCCCACCAGTGGGGGGGTCCAGTGGCTGATGATGGAGGTGGGTGTGCAAGGCTGGTGGCGGAGTGACGTTGCAGTGCACGGGGCAGGGCAGCTCCCTCTGCCAGTCCGTCAGCGCAGTCCCCGCTGTGTGCCGGCTCTCTGCCAGCAGGGCCCTGTCCCCCATCCTGTTTCCAGCTGGCACTTGCTGCAAGCTGCAGTGTCTGATAAGTGGGCAGGCGCCAGGCAGTGGCCAGTTACGTGTAGCCTCTGTTGCTCACCCATCGGCCCTTTACATGCTCCCCCCTCCCACTGCTTTGCCCCCCCCCCCAGCCCCCCTGCTCCTCCATATCCCCACTGGCGGAGCTCATCCCGCTCCCAGCACTCTGCGGAGAACCAGCCCTTGGTCAGAGCACTCAACTCACCAGCAGCCTGGCCAGCATGCTCCTTCCTTCCCCCACTGCCTCTGGCTGGGCAGGCACCCTGGGAAAGCCCAAGACAACTCTGGCTCGGGGTGCTGGCCATGAGGTGCTGAGACCTGCATGTGATGTCAAGCTAGTTCAAGCCCTGACCCTGCAGGCTCCACAGCAGCCCCCCAGGCAGGTGCTTAGCACCCTCTTCACCTGTGCTCCCCCCCACCGCCCTGAGTCCTTCCCCCCAGGGAGAATGGGGCTGCTTTGTCCCCTAGGCACTCCCCACCCACTGAGCCACCTCTCTGGCTGGGCTCCGCTGCAGAAGCCCCTGCAGTCAGGTTCCCTGGGCCCTGATGCACAATGAATCCTTAGGGTTTAACCTCTTCTGCCCGCGCTGTAGCTGGGGGATAAGAGGTGGCTGGGTTATGTCGGTGGCCAGCAGCAGCCTGGAGGTGTTAGCTGCCTTTTAATACTGTGCAGGCAGGAACGAGGAAGGGACAAGCTGCTTCCAGCCACAGGGGAGGTGAGGGGGATGGATGAGCTCTGCAAAGACACAGGCAAGGTCATCCCTTCCCCCGCCCCACTTCCCCCCAGCCTGTGGCTGGAAGCAGCTCCTATCCCTTCCTTCCTGCACAGTGCCAAAGCTCCTGCTGGCCATGTTCTGGCAGAACCCTGGCAGAAATCGGAGGGGGGGGGATGTGACCCTGCGTGCCCCCTCTCCCCCTCCACACACACATTGCCTCGGGAAGACACGGCACCAGGTACTGGAAGACGCGGGTCTGTTCCGGGAGCCCAGCCAGGCATAGAGGGCGGAGAGCGCTGGGCAGGGAGGGAGGGTTGATTGGTTGGTTCCCCTCCCCCACCCCGTGTGAGAGAGAGATATGGGGGTGTGTGTGTGTGACCTCTTCCTGTATGTGTGTGTGGGGGGGGATAGGGGTGTGTTTGTCACCCCTCCCCCTATGGACCCTAAAGCCTTAGAGATAAGAAGGTAAATAAGAAGAATCCAACTATGCAGTATTTCTTTTTAATGGGGGCTCAGTTAACTTGATGTTAATTTTAACATTTGTACTGCCTAGTTCTGACTGATTGCCGTTGAACTCACTTGAATAAGAGTAATTTTACCAGGTGTCCCATATTCAGCATAGGGAAATATGGTCACCCTAGTTAAAGGGCGGTTCTCTCTCGCCAAGGCATTTTGGGGTTCTGTAATTATGCAATCTTATTTTCTCCTGTAATGATTTTCAAGTGAAATGTGCACTGTTTACAAATAGAAGCTGTTGTTTTCTAGTGGTCAGATCTGTGAACTCACTCTGGGATCTGAAAGGCAAACTGGGTTCTTTCTGGCTCAGATCCATATCTGTAGCCCTAAGGACATCACTGGTGTAACCTGGGGAAGATTTTTGTCTGCAGCCGGAATGTAGCTACCTACTGATCTGTGGATTAGCTGCTCTCTCATGGCTGCATTATCTCTGTGGCGCTAATCATAAAAAATTAAGGTGCGTCTTCCTCACACAAATAATCCCATTGACTTCACTCGGCATAGCAATCATACAGGGCCAGACCCAAATCCCATGGACATTAAACGGTTCGTTTCAGACTCTCCTAGCGTAACTAGGCTGAATCCAGTTTCACCATTTCCTTTGCTATCACACAAGACTTTCCAGAACATCTGATGCAATATGACCCCTTGTGCTACCAGCTAATTTTGTATAAATTGATTCAGCTGCTTAATAATTAAAAGAGGTTCCATTTTTAACAGAGGAGAAAACCTCAGTTTTTAATTTGAAGTGTTTTGGATGGGATCCATGACAGGACTCAGGTGTTGCAACACTGAGCATTACAGCCCTTAACTTTTATATGCCTAGAAAATCCCAGGAACAATACTGCAATCCACAAAGCTTGAGTGAGGGGCCTCAGTTCCCTACGCATTGAATGGGGAGAGATGGGATCCTTAGAGTGGGACCCAAAAAACCCAGCTTGCTAAGCAGGGAGCCACCTAAGCTAGCCAAGGTGAGATGCCAATAAGAGGGGTGTGTGCTAAGAATGCCCACTCTCTCAGAGAT